ATTCGTTAACGCTATAACGAATTATTCGTTATACATTCCGCATAATTCGTTATAGCGTTAACGAAGATTCTTATAACAAAGTCCTGATCGGCTGGATCAGCAACTTTGTTATATTGAGGTGTGACTGTATTAGTCAAATACTTGATCTATACTGCAAATTACTTAATGTATTACAGTGTGATAAGGCACAGCTGTTTCAAGTTATACATAGCATGGGTTATTTGATTTAATTTTGGTTAAATTATTTGGATACTGCATTAACTTTAAGAATGATTGATCGGCTGAAAAAACGATGGAAGGAGTAGGAACAACCTCTTCTATTACTATCTTATTTACTACATCCTAAATATAGGATAGAACAATTTAACAATTCAGTTTCTAATGTTAATTATTCAGAATTTGGAAAATGGCTTATGTATTACTATTGTGCATGGTCTGGAAAGAAATCAAAATGTATTCTCAATGAATTTAATAATTTTCGCCTAGCTCAATATCTATTTGACCTTAATACATATAGATAATTTAATAATAATATTTGGTATTATTGGTGTTTTATTAGTGTTTTTACAAATGAGTTGGGATTTGTAGCTTGTAGGATTTTTGGGATCTGTGTAAATGCCACTTCTGTTGAGAGATTGTGAAGCTGTATGGGATTTTTACAATCCAAACGTCATAATCGATTGATGGTATGTATAAATATGATATTTTAATTAATTTATTATATTTTTATATATAAGTATTCTTAATTTCCTTATTATTATATTATATAGTCAGCCAAAGCTCTTTCAATAAGTAAACTGAGAGCTGAAATTACATATAACTATTGTCTTCATAATAATTCATTATTTACTGAATCTATTACTGAACCTATTAACACTAATGATACTAATCAAGATCCCGTCAATCTTAATGATTTAGTATCAGCAGAAGAGAATTATTCCAAAGAATCAGATGATGAAGAAGCTGATAAACCTCAATTAAAAAATGAATTTGATGAATATCTTCAGGATTAGGTAGAAATATTAGAGGAAGAGAAAAATGCTGAATTTGATGAAGATTCTGATGAGAATAGCGAAGACAATAATATGGTAAATGTACATAATATTACTCATCCCGCTATTGATACTAGTGCTAAATGGGCATTGAAAACTCTTTTCAAAGATAATATAAATTCGCCATTTTAATAAAAAATTATTTTGAAATTGAATTTGAAATGCAAAAATAAAGCTTTACCATTTTGTCAATTTTATCTGAATATGATTAAGTTTTTTATTTAATTTTATAAAAACTAAATTGTAAAATGTAAAATTTAATTATTTATGAACGTAAATTATTTTTTATCAGAAAATTTAATTTAGTATCACGTGACTATATTTTCTGACAAAATGACTGGGACATGAAAATTTCTGGATACAGACACAGACAGTCCCGTTTCAAACGTCCAAAGTTCATGTCTGTGTCTTATGACAACACTGGCATTACATATATAAATTTTGTAAAAATTTTATTAATAAATTGTTAAATAATAAACGTCGAAATCAGCTATAATTTTAAATGATCAATAAATGATCAGCAAGTGGTCAGATATTTTTTGGAGGGGAGTGTATATATTAGAAGTTATGTATATATAAGAACAAAAATTTTTCACTATTAAGCTTATTACTGATAGATAACAAGAAGCAAAATGTCTATTATTGATAATAGCAATATTATAAGTCTTAACCTTTATTTTTATAATAGTCAAAATAGACATGTAATTTTTGTGATTGAAATTTTTAAGAATAACCTTGTCTTTGTTATTGTAGATAAAGTTAGAAGCATATTAGTGCCTCATTTTTCAGTCTATTCTTATAACTTTCATTTTTAACAAATTTATCTAACCAGTATATAAAGAAGACATATTCAACTAAAGAATATGATTTCTGTTTATTTTTCTGAGAATTTGAATGAAAATATGATTCATATTTTTATCTATTCTCCTTTTTTCTAAATAATAATTTTTATGTTATAGTTACTTCAGTAACGATTTATTTATAAATAAAATATTATTATATCTTATCATAAATCTTGATAAATATCACATATAATGATATTATAATTACCTGAAAATTCTGTACTATATTTTAATTGCATATATATTAGGTAAATGCATTATAAATTAATATATCATTTCTCTCTAAAGCATCAAAAACTAAAAATACTTTTATATCCATAGACTAGCTTTATCTATAACTGCAGTCAAATGCATATTTTTTTCACAAGTACAAATATAAACACACATATATAAACGCTATGTCTTTATAAGCTTCTTCATCTGCTTTACCTACCTTAATAACAGAAGAAATTTTTTACTAAAATAATGTCAGACATTATTAAGGATTTTGATACAGAGGAGTTTATCAATTATTTGAGAAGGAAAAACTTAAAACTCAATAAAAATAATATTAAAATTTTTTGTAAGAGAAAATTTCTGATTTTACTTTTCTCAAGTTAATTAACTTCTGCAGTATTGATCTCATATTAGGTCTAGCAATAGTTCTCGTAGAATTCATTAAAGATCTTGATCAAAAAATAAGAAACTATTTCTTGCTTAAACTCTCAATAACTTGAAGAAAATATTATGTAAAAATAAGGTCAATAAGAAAAATATAATAAACATCAAGCAGTTTTCTCCTAGTAGATAATTAATTAATTTTTAAATTGACTAGATAGCTATATTAATTTTATTTTTCTCTAAAGTCTTCGAGAAGATTAGTGATAATGATAAAGTATTTGAACATTGTATAGAGGATATTATCTTAAAATTTTTAAATATAAAAACTATGACTGATGCTAATGAAGCGATATATTATGAATTTATTTTAGCTATATTACATGCATTAATTGCCATCGTTAAGAAACTCATTTCTCAAGATATATTTATAGTTTTGTATAAAATGTTTCCAGTGAAGATGCAACAGGTAGAGTAGACTATGCAATCAAAAGTTTGAAAGACCTCCTCTATATTACTGAAGGAAAGCCATGTAATATTAAGATTAAATATATATAAATGCATCTACTATATAGATCTGTATTTTTAGAAGATTCAATATTAATACATTTTATTTTTCTTAAAATCTAACTCAACTTGAAAATGTATTCTAGATAAATAAGAAGAAGTGAATTGCAGATTAAGCTTTTGGGAATGACTATTTTGATTATATATATGATATTGTGACTACAGGCATAGAGTGGCATTTTATTATATATATTCCTGATAGTATATATTTTACGAATGAAAGCAAATATGAAATTAATTTCATAAAGTCCATTATTATTAAAGAAAATTTAAACTTATTTTAAAGTAACATAAAAAGGGTAATCAGCATAATTGTAAGGTTATTAAAGAATTAGGTTAGTGTAGATAGTTTTTCAGCTAGTAAGAGGGCTAGGATCAAAAAAATTATTAAAAAATAATATGTATTATGGTCTAAGTTCTGAACTTTATATTTATTTTTGCACTTATTAATAAAAATTTTTTTTTGCCAATTTTCTGAGATGGCCTGTTTCGCAAAGTTTTTATTTAAATGTTTATGTATAATATATTAATTATATAGATCATACTATCTGAGCTTGAATTATTAAAATAGTATATCATTGAACTTGAGGCTGAAAACATAGATCTTAGAAGAAAGATCTCAGTATCTGATGTTGAAATAGCTGAATTTAAACATAAGAATATCAAGTTTCTAAGAGTGAATGAAAAATATAATGAAAGACGTGATGTCAGGATAAAGAAATTGGAGTAGAAAAATGCAGAGCTTGAGACTAGGCTTGTAATAGTAGAAAAGAATTCTATAATAGTGGATGAGCAACTACAAAATAATAAGAAAGCAATATCAAAAGTATTATCAGAAATATTAGTACCTAATAATAACACAGACATCAAGTCATCAAAAAATAAAAAAATGGATTCTTTCTTAGATGAAGAGATTTATGAGCTTAAAACTAAAGTAGCAAAATTAAGACATGATATTAATAAACTTAAAAAAGAATCAGAATCTAAGAAAAATTGCAAATTTTAAACTAGATGCATTCAGATAGCTAAGGAAATTTTTAGGAATCTATAGTCAAATATCATCCTCCCTTCTTGAATGGATTAGAACTTGATGCTTTCTTTCAAAAATATTGAATTGCATTGGAGATACAAGAGGCTCAGCATCAGTTTCATAGTACTAGCTGGTATAAAGATGTCAAAAAACTCGTTTAATCGTGATTAGTAAAAAAGATGCATTTGTTTAAACAATGGAATTTTCCTTATTGAGGTATGGTATGACCAAAACCCGGAAATTGTTATTTCTAATAGGATACAAAAATCAAAGAGTTTGTATGTCTAGCATCCAAAAGTTTCGATATCCTATAGTCAATACATCATACATGCAATTCTACATTTATATTGCAGATAAATATCATAAGATTAATATTTTTAAGGTCTGTAGCTTACATCAGTTTCTTATTTTTTCCGTACCTCACCCCTAATCCATTATGAGAACTGGTGCATGCAGAAAACCTCGAATCTTTTCCAATTTTCTATCTGTCCAGAGCTTTTATGTTTGTTCTGTTTTCAAGCATGTACTGTACATGGCTCATGATATTAATTATGTCTAGAAGATTCGATTGATGGCACGTGGTCATGATTAGATCATCAGTCACGCCATTTACAGGTTTAAAAAAACGTGTTAAAAAAATTTTCTTTCCTAGTCATCGTTTTTTTCCTCCAATACATTCAATACATTCGATAAAATGTCATCAGTTCTCAACTCGGAAACTCTTAAATAGCTTCATCACGCAGGTAATTTTCTGAACTTCACTTTTGTAGTTACTGCTAGCAGGAAGAAACTTAAGTCTCCCTCCATAGATTACTGGGAACGCGAACCAGGCGCGTGGGGAAGCGTGAGTGACTGGGATATCTACTATATTAATAATGTACCTGGAGTTTCCAAAGCGCAAGCGCATAGTTCTCTTGGGCTTGAACTGGACATTATTCTTAAAGCACTTCCGCCAAAAAGCCGGGCTTATTATAAGGCAGAGGATTTGAATAAATCTTTAAAGGTAGTATTTTCTTTTTTTTTCTAGCTAGAATGATTCTCAGTCATGTCACAATGTCAAGAACAATGATACCTGTCCCCTGCAATTATGTTGAGCGATCTTGTCGCGCAAGGCAAATGTCCTTTGTCTGAAGTGGGAAGTATGTTGCATCTGGGACCTTCAGTCCATCTGTTACATAATATTATGCTTGATAGTTAGTTCCGTTGGCATTGTTTATAACCGAGTCCTGCAATTAGGTTGAGCGAACTTATCGCACAAGGCAATAATGTTTTTTTTTGCTTGAGGTGGCTGATAGCAAAAATTGCTTTTTTTGCTTGAGGTGGCTGATAGCAAAAATTGCTTTTTTTGCTTGAATTACAGTCTGCCAACTACTCATCGCCTATAATAAGATTATTCGTAGTATTTACTATATTTTTCTCTTTAAAGAACTCCAAAAAAAGGGAAGCTAGCTGTTGAGAATAGAATTCATCGAGTATGTAACATATTTGATTTTATCTATATATCAAAACCCGGATGTAATATTTCTTCAATTGGATGCAATTAGTTTGAGATTTTGACTACCGGAATACGTGCAGCGACCGGAGCAGTAAGGGCCGAATTTCCACGTATGTTAAACTTCTAAATTATATTTAGACATCGTTATTAATTTACACTTCTATAAATATACTAAATAATAGCTTTGAAGCGGAAGCTTAATAAGCCTCATTCTCCAGATATTAATGATGGTGATGAAAAACTGACCAAAAAAATAAGAGCGGAAGACGAAGATCAGGAAACAATCGATTATGGGAGAATTTATCGGATAGTATATGAATGTCCAACATACACTTAGTTTCCTCTGGGGCCTATTTCAAAAAAATATTTTTTTCATCAGGTAATAACGTACAACACGCATCACAGTCTTCTGCCGAAGATGAATTAGCCAGGGGAATTGAAAGAAAGATACCGCGAAATTAATAGACATTTTACGAAAACAAGACAACTTATTCTTGAACGAAAAACATTTCAACATTTTACAAAATCAAGAAATTGTCGGTCGTGACTTCATAAAAATGGATAAACAAGACTTTAAGGAGTGTGGGTTAGAGACAGGACCGTCGATGAGACTTGCGGAGTTTGCTAGGATGCTTAACAATAAGAGTAAGTAACCATATTGTAATATGGTTTGGGAATATTTATTAATAGTGTTTTTTGGAGCACTAATAGCTTATTATATATTCTGGTGATGTAGGTGAAAATTTGTGTAAAATATCTACAGTAGAAACCTCTTCAGCCATTACCGATTTTGATCTAAATAAGTTTCGAAAAGAATTCATTGAAGACCTTAGTGGGATCCTTGGTGATGAACTCCAAAATATCAAGAGGGACATGGAAAAAATTAAGTGTCAGAAAAAATGGTAACGCAGGAAAACATCTTGAAGAGGAGGAGTGATTTTGTGAATAATCATATGTCATATCATTTACGATACCTTAATATTGTTAGCTGAACCAAATATATATTACCAATTTGCTTATGTATCTATATTTCAACCATCTTATTTTTGTACTGCAAGCCATTGGAATAAATAAAGTATTTGTAGTTTGCTCGCATAATGATTAACATCATATAAATGTCTCAAAAAGTTCATTTGTAGTCAGATAGAATTTTATTGTACATGGTATGGTACGCAGGAGGGTAGACACGGCCAGAAAAATTTATATCTTTAGCGTGATATGGGAAGATTCGATTCGTCGTGTCAAGTCCTTTAAAATTGCCAAAAATTCAAATGAAAATTTCATAAATTATCTGTTTTAAATATAATTATAATCAATTTTTAGAAAGTTCGACTCGACATAAAAAAGTTATTTTTAGATAGATCATAATCGGCTTTAATTTGTGACTCAGGTTTATGCATAAAAAATTCATTATGTTAATCGTTCACTTATTACATTGTTTTGGAAATCAAATAAATCTATTTTTATTTTTATGCAGATCAATTTTTTTTTAAAAAAAAAGAAATATAAATAACATTAATTATTCTTATATTAAAATTTTCACTTTTAAAAAAATCTTCACTTTCATCGTTATTAGAAAAGATTAAAGATGACAGATATTGATTCCTCATTTCCGCCAGAAATGTCATTTGATAATTATAAACTTTTATCAAACTTAATATTAGTTTCATTTATATCTTTATCGTTTCGATCACCAAAGTCATTTTTACATCTAGCAACATTAATTACATTAACGATTTGTTTTATGATCCAACCTATATTATATAGAGGGAGATATCCAGCAAACGAACAAGCAAGTGTAGCAGGATTAGGGATAATACTCGGTTTTAAAATGTGTTTTTGGTTAAAAAAATTTGCATCATCTCATTCTATTGACGATTTTCAACCATTTTTCTATACGTTATTTTATTGGAGAAAAAATGTGACGAGTGGAAAAAAGGAAGATTTTCAACCCACAAATAAACAAATACTTCAAAACATTGTAGAAAGAAGTATTTATTTATTTATCAGATGGATCATTTTTGAAAGTTGTTTTAAAGTCATGGATATGTATTCGGATATAAATGAAATTCCTTCTTCACCTTATTTCTTTAGAATTCTTGATATGTTTAGAACTGGAGCATCACCTATTACGATGAAATCTTTATTACTTTGTTCCTTTTATATGGTACTTGTTTATTTATTAGTTAGCAAAAATTACGATACATTTCTTTTGATTTCGGGAATCATTTTACTTTTCTTGAACGTAATATTTCCTACGGTAAATGATAAAGAAAAGTCCTTCTTAAAGGGAAAAATCTTTTCCGTTAAAAGATGGTGTATTTCATTTTTATTTGATACGCGATATATATTTGATTCACCATGGTTATCTACATCACCAAGGGACCTTTGGAGTTTTAGATGGCACACATTATACAATGACATCTGGAAAGAATTGGCATATGTTCCATTGAAACATTATTTAACCGAGGATAATTCGCTTTCCGAAAATCGAAAGAATTTAGCACAAATCGGAGGAATCATGGGTGCATTTTTTCTGAGTGCCATATTACATGAATACTTAACATGGACAGAAATGAATGAATTAACGCTAGAACAATTTTACTTTTTTTTATTTCATGGCATAATATTTGTTATTTGGGAGCTCATATGTAAAAAAGAAAAAAATAACACACAGAGAGTTATTTTATTTTTAATTGTGTTTTTAAGTTTACCTTCCATCTCCGAACCCTTCCTCAGGTATAAGCAATGGCTGTTACCATCAACATTCACAAACATCAATAAGCGTCCTTAATTAGGAAGTAGTTCATTTGTAAATGGGAGGATTATTATAATTTCCAAATTTATAACAATCATATATTTTTAAAATTATTTCCAAATTTATAACAATCATAAATAAATAAAGAAGTATTTAAAAAGAAAGTAAGTTTCAACTTAAAATTTTTGAAAATGATTTCTTTACAAGACTTTGATCCACCGACAATTCCATTATGGGCTTATCACTCGTCAATCTTATCAACGCTTATAATATTTATATTATTCTCCGCTAAAAAACCATCGTCATATTTTCATTACGCATTCTTATGGATCGTAATGCTGGTTTTTGTATCGATTCCAGTGATTTACAGATCAAGATATAAAACACCAGATCAAAATATAGCCTTACCAGTAATAAGCATAACATTTAAAATGATTTTGTGGCTTAAAAATTGTTTGAGATCAAATATTAAAAAAGACAAACATGTCGAGTCGTTTGGTAGAACTTTATTTTATTGGAGGAAAAATGTTACGTTCGAACCGACACCCTCGGATATTCCAATAAAAGAACAAATTAATGAGAAACTTTTATTCCGATTTTTAATCATCATGTTCAAGTGGATTTTATTTGAATTGTCCTTTAAATTTGTTGATAAATTTGGTTATAATGTACCAAACGAAATTTATTTTTTAAGATTATTTAAATGGTTATTCATAAATGGAAATCCCCCGTTAACCATTATACAATTCGTTCATTGTTTGGTATCTTGTTTTTTGGTTTATGTTTATTTATCATTAAATTATGATATTGTACTTTTGATCTCTTCTTTGATTTTAAAATATCTTTCCAACAAAAATTCTTTAACGCAAAAGCAAATTACCATAAGAGGATGGTGTACTTCATTAATATTTCACACAAGGCACATATTTTATTATCCTTATTTTTCTATTTCACCAAGAGAACTTTGGAGTTTTCGTTGGCAAGGAGTATTCAATGAAACATTCAAGGAATTAGGTTATTCACCTGTTCGTTCGATTACAAAGAGTCATACGTTAGGCGTTTTGGCCGCTTTCACTATAAGTGGCATATTACATGAATATACTTTATTAATTCAGATGAACAAAATTTCCGGCGAACATATGTTGTTCTTTTTATTTCATGGATTCATGTTTTTACTATGGGAATCCATGTTCCATCCAACAAAAAATTCTTTAGTCATTTATAAAAAAGGATTAATGTGGATTATTTGGATGATTATTGCTTGTGCTAGTGTACCTTCTTTTGTAGAAGTTTTTACTAGACATAATCAGTACGTTATTCTTTCAGTTTTTACTGATTATCAAAAGAACAATACGAATGTAGTTTAATTTACATATAAAACGATTTCATTCATATTTATTTTATAATTATAAAGATCTGTAAAATTACATTTCAGTTTCATTTACTAAATAAACATCAATTTATTTTATTTTTAAAGAAATCTCTCTAATATTAACAGAAAATGTTTCGTAATTTCTTTCAATAAGATTATAAGTTTTCCTACTTAGAATTATTGAATTTGTTATCTTTGGTCACTTCAAAGTTATTTTTAAGATAGTAGGAAGTTGTCAAAGGATGCCTGAATTATTTCTAAACTTGTTGCTTGTTGTAAAGTCTTGAACTTTACCTTTTCTTTAATATATAGTTGTGATTGAATTGTATATGCAAATGGACAGTTTTTACTAATTTTCAAATTGCATGATGTATTAATATAAATCCTATATCTTCAATATCAACCAGATTATGTTCGTAAAAATTAATTGAGTGAAATGATAAACGATTTTTTTTTTGATCCTAGTACAATCTTAAGAAAATTTAAAAAATAATTTTCTGTTAATCTTCTTTCAGGATTTAATACTTTTCAAAAAATCCAAAAGCAAGCAATTCATTGAATCATTGGATCATATTTCACAGAAAGATTCTAAAGATAGTTTCCAATTCATTCTTATGATAAAATTATATCTTAACTTAAATACTAAATTTAGATAAGAATTATAATAATAATGATAAGGTAATTCAACTAAATATAGAAAGAAAATTTAATGTTTCTCAAATAATTAAATTATTTATATTGTTACAAATTTTATTATATCTAATATATTTTATAACTTTACTAAATCTAAATAAATAAGTTAATTATAATATATTATCTATTATTATCATAATTATTGTTAAAAAATACAGACCCTCACCAAAAGTCTCCGAACACTTTTTGGCTCAATATAAAACTTAAATTTTTTAAGTTTAATTAAAAAATATTTATTAATATATTTATTAAAGTACGA